TGGGATCTTATACTGGCGAGGATTCTGCATAATGGTGATCACACGTTCCACCTCATCCTCAGTGAGCTCTCCGGCCCTTTTGGTGAGATCGATGTCTGCTTTCCTCAACACTACATGAGCATATCTTCGCCCCACACCCTTAATTGCAGTGATGGCAAAGGCTATTTTCTGCCGCCCATCGATATTGGTGTTGAGTACTCGCAAAATGTGCTGGAACTTCTCAGGGATCACTAGAGACATGGTGGCGGCCCCACCGGCGGCGTGTAGGCCTCCTGTGGAAGTGTATTAGTGATTTAAAAAAATCATCAACTCTTTAATCTTTTTCCTCTTTTTTCACCAAATGAGATGCAAATACCTAGCACAGCAGATGTTCAGAGAGCATCATTCATCTTCCCTTAGCCCTCCTTTTACCCACTTAAGGATATTTACCATGAATGCATAGCTCTTCCTGTGGCTGCTTTAATTAGGCCATAGGGCACACTTAGCCCATACTGTAATTCAGGCATGATGGAGAATTTTTGGATAAATTCACTAGATTCCTTGCCTCTCTGTTGCAATAATGGTGACCTATGTTCTATATGTTCTTGCCTAGTTCTCCAGGGGGGCTGAGCTTTAATAGCCCACAGTGATAACTTATTTATCAACACAGACTTTATTAACTCTTTTCTCTTCCTTGTCTCACCTCCCTTCTCTCTTGACTGTTGTTTCCTAGGATCACATCCCAAATAAACAACTCTCACTAGAATATTTGTCTCAAGAGAGACTACTGGGAAATCTAAAGTACAACATTTTTCTAATAGGTAGTTATAATCATACAGTATATTTTCTAATTGTGGAAACATGAGAGAAGCACATCTTCATAAAGATTGCCTACAATTTCTATAAAATGTTCTGATTTTTAAAAAATTGCATTCTCTGTAGATATTCAGAATATAAATAAAATATTAATTCTACTTTTTCTCCATAACATATAAATAAAGAATAAATTAGTGTTTTTAATAGTTTAATAAAGCATAAATCTTAGTAGGCTGTATTAGAAAAATATTAGTTATCATATTGATAAAATGTGTAGTTCACCCCTGCAGATGGTTCCAGATTTTATGGGTCTACATCAGGAGGGTTGAGGGGTGGGGAGGTCATTCTGAGACTCAGGCTGATGGAATACCTGCCATCTCCAACGGGTGGATTCCAAAGTCACTATGGACATTGGCATCCAACTGGCAGATGAAAGATTCCAGAAAGCACACTGGCTTCTAAAACACTGTGGCCTGGAATTGATGCACATTACTTGAATTCCATTTCCATGGGTAAGAACTAGTCATAGGGCCTCAGGTCAAGTAAGAGGGATGGTCAATGAAGTTCTTAGCTGGGGAGCTGTTTGCCAGCAGTGACTGTATTATATGAAAGGGAAGCATGAACATTGTTCCACTAATCATTTTTTGCCTAATACCTGGAGGACAAAAAGTCTAATTTGTATGTGAAAACTTGATGTTATATTTTTAAAAAAAGATTTTCCATCTTTGCATTTTTTTTCCTCCAAAGCTTAAAACACTCTAGGGCCTTGGCTTCCTTACAGTGATACTGAGGTTGTCTTCCAGATATTAACTAGTCAAGCCAAGTTGCTTTCATTGCCTGAGTGCTGTTACAAGGAAGGGTGCTGCAAAAGGGAATGTTAACCAAGGAAACCAGCCATAGTTAATGCATTCTAGATGCTGTTGTCTCTTAAAAAGATTAACTTCCATCCGTGGTAGAAAATGCATTTCTTGCAGATTGTCTAGGCAAATACACCCCAGACTGTGTCAAATAGTTGGGATCATTTGAAGGGACATTATTATTATTATTTTTAACTTATTAAAGATATGTTATTTTAAAGATCTTATTTATTCATTTATTTGAGAGAGTGAGAGAGGGAGAGAGAGAAAGAGAGAGCACACTAGCGGGGGGAGGGGTAGAGGGAGAGGGAGAGGGAGAAGCAGACTCCCAGCTGAGCACAGAGCCTGATATGGGGCTTGATCCCAAGACCTGAGGATCATGACCTGAGCCGAAGGCAGACGCTTAACCGAGTGAGCCACCCAGGTGCTCCTAAAGACATGCCATTTTAAATGCAGTGGAACAAGTTTAAAGAATACTTGCCTTTGTACACAGAAAATCTCACATATCTTTACAATTAAGGAGAGTTTCATTTTTCTGTGTTCAAACCTTTGTCCTTCTGGAGCAAATATTTAATTTTATGTTTATACACAAAGGGCAATTAACAACATGTGCTAGGTGCTACATAAAAACTAGTATTTTCTCATATTTAACACAATTAATGGCTCCTCTCCATGTCAGTTCAAGACAACTCTTAAGAACACAGGTGTTGCAATTTGCTGAATTACAGGAAAAAATTATTAACATTTTCTTATAAAAATAACATTTCTGCTATAAAAATCACACGTTCACAAGACCTAGAATATTTTATATAAAATTTAACCCCATGAAGCTATTAAGAATATATTTTAATAGCTATTAGGTGGTTGTCTGATTTCCTAGTAAAATCTAATGTATTAATGTTTATCTTTATTTTAAATTTTTTGAAAGATTTTATTTGTTCATTTGAGAGAGAGAGCATGAGTAGAAGGAGGGGCAGAGGGACAAGCCAACCCCACACTGAGCAGGGTGCCTGAGGCACAGGGGCTCCATCCCAAGATCCTGAGATCATGACCTGAGCCAGAGTCAGACACTTAACTGACTGAGCCACCTAGGAGTCCCTTTATTTTAAATTTTTAAATCATTCTTTTGTTGTGTCATTTATTTGTCTTTGCCATTTGTGTCTGGATTCAGAAACCACTTGCAAGACTATCTATCATCTCTCATGCCTCTAAAGTTCTATCACTAATATTTCTAAGGAGAGTCATGAGAGTAGTGAATCAGAATTATCTTATTAATCAGGAAAATGTTCTCATTTTTCCTACTGGTTTTCAAAAGAGATTTCATATTTCTGAAATTGTGCACCTATTCTCACCTTGTTATTTATCTTATGGCTAGCTAAACTTACGTGGTTTCTATTGCTTTCTGAAACCATTTTAATATATTCTCTGCAGATTCAGAAAGAAAATGTAGATAAACCAGAATATATCAAATACAAACAAAAAATTAAATGTACAATCAGGTAAAGCAAAAATATTGGCAATAAAATTTTAACGCTTTTTTACTTTCTTCAAATTTATAATGCACATAAACACACAGAAATAGCACATACTTCAGAGAGGCATGTCTACCAGATTTCCAGTCGAAATTGTATTTATTTTAATAAAAGGTGAATGTTTTATACTTTGAAAATATTAATAAGGTGTAGTGATATCTCATCATTATAGTTTACATTCCCTTAATGAATAATGATGTTGAACGTATTTTCATAAGCTTATTTGCCATCTGCACATTCTTTTTGGTGAAGCGTCTGTTCAAGTCTTGTGCTTATTTTTAATTGGATTGTTCATGTTTTTAATGCTGAGTATTGAGAGTTCTTCATAAATTCTGGATGAAATTCCCTCTCACATATATGGTTTGCAAGTATCTCTCTGTGCACAGCTTATTTTTTCATTTTCTTAACAATGTCTTTCTCACAACAAAAGCTCACATTTAGCCTATCAAATTTATCATTATGCTTATTGTATCATATCCAAGAACTCGCCTAACCACAGTTGACAAATCTTTTCTTCTATGTTTTCTTCTACAGGTTTTATAGTTTTCTGTTTTACATTTAGATTTATATTCCACTATGAGTTAACTTTTGTATATGATGTGAGGTTCAAGTACAGATTCATTTTTTTTTAAATGTGGGCGTATCCAATTATTCCAACACCATTTGTTGAAAGGGCTATTCTTCCTCCATTTAATTACTTCTGTCCCTCTGTCAGAAAATCAATTCCCTGTATTTGTTTGGATATCTGGTTCTGTAATCCATTCCCTTGATATATTTGTCTGACTTCACTGCAATAGCACACTGCCTTGATAACTGTAACTTTTTAGTAAGTCTTAAAATTGCCTAGCATAATTTTTTCAACTTTCTTTTTTTCTATCCAAATCATGTTAGCTCTTCTAGTTCCTTGACCTTTCCATTCACAGAATGGACTGATCAAGTTGAGGTTGAACCAGTTTGTTTCCCTTACCAATTTCCTCTCACTGACTTACACAAAGTTTCTCACGAACATCAGGCGAAAAGCAAAGGCACACATTGTTCAATGGAAGGATTCATGTTTGCAGCTCAGTGAGGAGAAAACACAGAGATGCCCTTTCAGATCACCTGGGTTTTGTTTAGTTTTGTTTTGTTTTTTGTTTTTCCTATTGTTATAGTTGTTTGTTTGTTTTTAAATAAATACCATTATAGTGTTGTATATGGTAGCTATACATGTGATTAGCACAACACATTGTATACAGTTGCTGAATCACTGTGTTGTACGCCTGACATTAATGTAACATTGTGTGTCAACTATAGTCATATATATATATATGAACAAAACAAAACAAATAAAAATAAACTATTACTATTGCTCAGGCTTGAATCCCAATCAATACGAACCACATCTCTATGGATGGGAACCGGGCATCTGTACCTTTTCACATCTTCCAAGGTGATTCTGATGTCAGGTGTGTGGGGAAGCAATCCTAGAGAAGGACGTTGTACAGAAAAGACAGAGGCTGCCGCATCTTTCAAAGAGCATTTCCGAGGAGCCCCGCGCAAATTAGCAGGGTTCATGCTTGTCACACACGTGCAGCATCACTGCGTCTGTGTCACCCGGCTCTGCGACACACAGGTCTTTCCTCCTCTTAATTGCTTACAGGAGCAATTATCTCAACTGTCAAAGGTTAACAAAAGATTTTTCCTTAAAAGCTCTTAAGAAAGCTTTCCCTTTCTTAATCATTAACTAAGCTGACAATTTTATTCACAAGTAAATCATCTGACAGAGATATTTTCAGATTAGTTTTTGGTTCGATAAGTGGATGCGTTTCAGTAAAATGAAAAGACATGGAAGCATAATGACAGGAGAAAAATAAAGCTTTATAAAGTTATCATGGTAAAGTCTTCCATCTCAAAATTGTCTGGCTTACCATGAACTTCCAGAAACCTGCTTTGAAGCCTGCTCTGCTTTATTTTTTAAAAAATTTTTATTTATTTTTTATTTTTTGAGAGAGAGAGAGAGAGAAAAAGCAAGAGTGGGGGGCGGGGCGGATGGGAAGGGGCAGAGGGAGAGGGAGGG